ATCTCTCAGGAGTTAGCCCACAGAATCTAGTTATCCAGCTGCAGATGACACATTTCTGAATCTTTTCTAGCTTGTTAACTGAATTCTGCAGCTCTGTATGGGTGTTGTACACTATACTAGCTAGAATAAGTTAGATTTATGAAAGTACTGGTTACTGTCTATGATCTTATATTTATATGATGACTTTCCACTTTACAATCTTAAACTGATATAATAAACCACACAAGGGTCATGTTTTCCATCACTGCAATACAGCCCCCCACTGGGGCTGAGATGTACTAGTGACTATTTAACCGTACACAATGCCACCACACACCAGACTAGGTTAACACTTCCTCATCCTATTGCAAAGACTGTTAATGAGGATTCAACATATTATCAATGGTGGTGGTGTTTATGTGATGTGGATTTTTTCCACTAGAAAATAGACCGAAACCCCCCAAATAGTTTCACAGAGGCCATCAAATGCCAATTAGATAGATATGGTTTATTTAACGTGGGCTAAACCCAGACTTGTGAACAGCTCCATATTTCATTACCAAACCACCATCCCACACCAAGTCAGTTCCTGTGAAATATGCTCCTATAAATTAAACAAAAATTGCTTGGGCAAGAATAATATATTAAAGCTTGAGAAAAAGTAATAGGCAGGAGATAGAAGTAGAGCTGGTTTATTATTATACACATACACAGAAGGGCATCTATAAGGACTGAGTGTACTAGGCCTGGAAATGGCATGACTAGGACAACCAGTAATTTAATTTCTGTGTTCTGAACTTTACTGTCATTCTGTAAAAATAACTATGACTGCTGCTGTCTGAAAATGCTTTGAGCAAAAGTCTTAACATTCCAAATGATCCTGAAAATTGCATTTCTGTATGCTTTTTAAGTTGCTTAGTTCTGAATCAGCAGTCTAAAAGTGTGTTTACACTGCAGGTAACCATTTCCCATGGAACAAATACGGAGGAAATCAGGTTATAGTGAGGGCACCCAGCAGGACGCTTCTACTGTCTATTCAATGTCAGTGTAAACTGATTTCTTTAAGAAAGACACTCTGGGAGAAGAGAACAAATTGAAGAAAACATGTTCTGCATGCAAGAAAGAGCAAAGAGATGGAACACAGGATACTATGAGATAATTATGCAGAGGGAAAAAACAGAGGAAACAGGACAGCAGAAGAATAACAATATTACAGCAGGTGGGAGTTGTACAAACTAGGCTGGCTTGCAGCAGCACCAAGCAGATAATACATGAGCATTTTCACTCTCACTCTCTTTAATTCTTTCATGCAAAATAATTGCCTGCTCATAAGTTCCTGATGGTTTCTTTATCATGGTTTGTGTTACTAAAATTGCTGTTCGCTAAGCATTAAGTTTTGAACTAAATTAGAAATGTGCCACACAAGAACTACAAAGAAGTTTACACATTGCATTAAAAAAAGAAAGCGAGTATGTTAGGCTGCTCAGAAATAAATAAAAAAAGATTGAGGGAGTCCAGAAAATTGAGAAAGATTTGCTGTAACAGACATAGAGCTAGATCCTGACAGATGCCATATATCTGCAAATCCCAGAATCAGGTGGCTCAGCACCTCTCGGGATGTGGCCTTCAGTGAGCCGCATACTGGTTATGGGGAAACAATCTCTCTCCAGGTATGATCTCACAGCCGATCACACAGTATGAAAGGGAAGAGACCAGTTGAGAGGGATTGTGGTGGGAGATGCATTTCTCTGATATAACATCAAACAGTTAGAGCATCACTTCAACATTATTCAAATATTCTCTAGCAATACTCTAGCCAAATAGAACACGGACTATATCAAAAGGACTAGAATACATTAAAGATTTCTGCCGAGTGCTGTTATTGTTGACCTATAGTTTCATTATTTCGTATTATTGTAGTGCAGATTCTCTGTTCCGCTCTGGTCCTTTTATGCTGCACTAGCTACATAGTGTGAAGCCAATTGAAACAGTCCCTCAGAAATACCTGCTGGGTAAGTGAGTCTCCTGGATGCCCTCACATCCCCTGGCATAGGGGGCATGCTACAAGTACAGGACATCAGTGGGATATTACTTAAAACTAACTTGGCCTATGTCCTATAACTGAACTGAACAGAGCTCAGATAGAAAGGAAAATAGACCTATTTTTTCTGGTCTAATTTAAAAACCACTTAAATATTGTGAGTTTGAAAGTTCAACTCAAACTGCTTTTGTGTTTTGCTTAGAGACTTTGAATTAAAGAGAAAAAATGAAAACTCTATTGGGAAAAAATAAGGTGGAAAACTGAGCCAGAAGAGAGAAAACCACAGTGGGAGACTATACATATGGCTACACTGGAGCTGGAGGTGTAGTTTCCTGCTCAGGTAGATGTATGTGCACTAGCTTTGATCAAGCTAGCATCCTAAAACTAGAAATGTATCCACGGCGCTGGGAGGGGCTAGCTGCCCCGAGTACAATCCCACTCAGGATTCTACATATTTATTTGGATGCCAGCCCATCCCACCGTCTGTGCCGCCAGAGCACCACTTCTATTTTTAGCACACTAGCTCGATCAAAGCTAGCACGTGTATATCTATCTGAGCTGGAAATTGCACCTCCAGCTCTAGTGTAAATGTACCTTATGAGAAAAAGAGCATAAATGGATATATATATCACACACACATGTTATATATGTTGTATCTGTCCTTACCACATAACACAGGCTTCCCTTTACCTAGAACAATATTGCTGTTAAACTGATTCATCCTTGAAACAAACACCAGGCTTCAATGATAGGCAAAAATATCTGCAGATTCAGCTTAGTTCTGTGAATCCCAAATATTGCTCAATGGGATCACAAGACCCGAAGAATAGTGCACTGTTCACCTTCTCCCTCCCATTTTAAAGAAATAATATTGCAGTGACAATGTCTGAACTTCATCTGTTTGTTTATCCTATTTCTGTATTTGCTGCTTCCCTCCTAAATCCTTTATTGCCAGAGTAACAGCTCAAAGCCAAATGAAGGTTTGATGTGGTACATGGCACGCCAAGAAAATGAAGCCCAATTTCAGGCTGCATGAGACTGAAAGCTGTGATTTTGCTAGTGTGAGGCTGTTGCTTTGGAAGGAGTAGGAGGATTGTGAAGCAAGCCATCACTTGTCAGAATTCTGGGATTCTACTGTCAAGATCTCAAACACAAATAAGGGTGGCAAAAAATCAACCATACAACCCAAAACTTGGAAGACACTAGACAGCTGTGTAGGTACTGGAACTAGACAAAGGCCACAGCAACCACTCATTCCCATTCAGCAAAGTAAATAATATGAAGGGTTTTTCTGCTGAGGTCACTGAGTGTGAAAGGAGTGGGCACAGGAAGCATTGCCACTTAGATGTATGATCACACACAAAACAACAATCATACTCTCACAATTGTGTTTGGTTTCCCAGTTGCTCCTCTTTAAACTAATCCCGGCCAGGTTCTTTACCTTTCAGATAAAGCTGATGGTCTCATGAGAAAAGGTGTTCTTTTAAAAAGCCTAGCTGCAGCCATATTCGGTTTTCAGAGCTAACCATGGAGTTTACAAATGATACAATACAAGCTGCAGATTTCAAATGTTCTTGGTTTCACAGCTGAGGTAATAGGAAGCGGCTTGTCCTCAGCATTATTAGCTGGCACTGAAAAAGCAGTCAACAGAATTAGAGAAACAGATGATGTACTTAGGAAGAGCAAGTAAATTAGAGAAGCTCATGGATGATACATGGCTTGTGCTAGCCTTAGAAGAGCCAACAGTAAAAGGAGACACAATTCAGTAATTGTAAGAAGTATGTATGTGTAATAAATAAAGCAGTATGTATAATAAACAGATGAAGAAAATATGGTGGTAACCAAGGGATCATAGGAATTTGATTCTGTGAAGGATAATTCAGAAAATGAAGTAATATAAAACAATTTGGGGAACTAAATGAGGAAGCAAGGGAGAAAGAATTGGAACAAAGAGGTAAGGAGGAATTTGTTAATGTGCTTGGTAGAGAGCCATTTCTTTTAGAAGGGTCATGCTAATTAGATTCTGAAGCAAGGGTTAAGGATTAGTTAGATCAGAGGATTGCAGCCGAAGCTGTTATAGTTTTGTATGCTGGAAGAAGGGTGACAAGAGATACTTAAGAGATAATTCAGAGACTGGCCCAAGATCTTAGGGGAAAGAGAGTATGAAGTTGTATTTTCAGCTGTGCTACCAGTTTCATTATTGGTAGACATGAGAGATGCTCAAACGATTATGAACAATTTGTTCATGGAATTTCATTCCCCCCCCCCACCATTTTAAAATTCCATACATCTGGAGGAAAATTTCCCTTACTTTCATTACTCATATCTCCTTGATGAACATTTTTAATAAATATTGTGGTCTACAAGAGCAAATTGTTTTTGTAGGTAGGCAATGGTCAGGATTATACCAAAGACATTGAGCATGCAAAAATTGAAGCCAAATCTTTCTTATGAGATCATTTTCAAACCATTTAACTCAGTTGTTGATCATGCTTACAGATACAGTGTTGTTTTGCCAAAGGTCTGTTTGCATCCTCTTGACAATCTCAGTGTATTAACAGTGCAGTGCAAGTCAGGACTCTTGCCAAGGGTCCTGGGGAATGCTGTCTTACTGCTGTTTTAATTGTCCCAGCTCAAATGCTACTATGAGCATGGATTTATTTATTTATAATTTCCCCCACTTTCTACTTCTTCATTTGTCATTTATTTCCACCTTCCAAGCCACAGGGAGGTTTTAATAGGAGCCCTTCCAAACACCCAAACATTTGCCCCCTCCCTCTACAAAAATGTACAATAGGACCCTTTGAAAACACTAAACAGAACATGATACATTTATTTTGAAGTGTCTCCAAACTTTTTCTTTTAAAAAAACCTAAATGTTTGCCCAACAATAAGAGAAATGAAAAACATACATGATGAATTTTACCTGTATGCACAGGGACCATTTATATCCAATTTAAGCCCTGTTTTAAAAGCTTACCTGGATTTAAGTGGTCTGCTGGTCTTGTGCTGATGTGCTGCAGTGGTGAATTTCAGCTATAAGAAATGACATGGTGGTAAAAAGTCAGTAAACTCTTGTCACTGAGACGACTTCTTATATTTTTAGTAGACAGGGAATACTTTAGAGTGATATAATGATTGTTAATTAAATTTCAACCAGACATCATAACACTAGATTATGGGCTTAGAGTTACATTCTGCAGTTGGAAGAATAAATAAAATGCTTATTAGCTTGATAAGAGCTGTGCATATACCGTGTAGATATACTGTGCTAAATTTGGTTCTTTAATGCAGAGTTTCACCTGAACATTTATTTATAGTTTTAGAAGGAAGATTATGAAGAAGTGACCTGCGTATATCTGAATATAAGGGGTTTGATATAGCCTGAGATAATGCAGTGGTGTGTCTACACAGCAAAATCTGTACACAGGCTGACCAGCCCGTGCAAGCTTGAATCCTGGTAGCAGTGAAGACATTGCAGTGTGGGCTTCAAAACAGGATAGCATGTTAAGTATGTACCCAGTGTCTGTACTGGGCGTGTACTACCCATGCTGAAGCCTGCACCACACTGTTTCCACAGCTACTATTACACAGGCTAGCTGGATTCAAGCTAGTTTGCGGTGGCTAGCCTATGCACAGCTTTTGCTGCGTAGATGTACCCAGGGGCGGCTCTAGCTTTTTTGCCACCCTAAGCACGACAGGCAGGCCGGCCGCCTTTGGCGGCTTGCCTGCGGGAGGTCCCCTGGTTCCCCGGCTTTGGTGTACCCGCCGCCGAATCCGCGGATCTCCCGCAGGATTGCCGCCGAAGGCAGCCTGACTGCCGCCCTTGCAGGGACCGGCAGGGCGCCCCCCGCGGCTTGCTGCCCCAGACACGCGCTTGGAGTGCTGGTGCCTGGAGCCGCCGCTGGATGTACCCTAATTCTTGTACCAGTGTAACTCCAGTCAAACCAATAGCTTTGTATCGGTATCAAGTGGAGTAATGGAGTGGTGAATCAGGCCCATTGCATCCACAATTAACACTGTGTTGAAATTTGCTAGATAGAACAAAGGGAAGTGAAGAGATCAACAAGTTAAATATCTTTTTATATAGGTGCTAGAAAACTTACATTATATGGATATAGAATTCTAGGTAAATATACATATATTGCAGGAGAAATGAGATATTTTTGGAACAACAAACATGGTGAAGCTAGGAAATTGACTAGAAATTTAAAATATCAAAATGCAGAGCTTGCTAAGTGATAGGTAAAATAAAGCTTAGTAAAATAGAGGTGTAGATTTTGTTGAGGAGTATTTTATGCCTTCAGCAAGAAACGATATAAATATATTGGCAGACACAACAAAAAGCAATTTGTACAGAATACAGGCAAAAATATAGTAATGTCATTCTTTGCTCTTAGTACCTGTCTGTATGACAGTTTGAGAAAGTATTTATACAGATGAGATGCCTATAAACATACCAGAGCATTGATCATGGGCAATTTTAAACTCTTTTGCACTAAACTGGGTTTTTCTGACAAATTGTGATAATGTATCTTGTGTTAGTGCTAATGGCAGGAGCCCCAGACCTGCTGGCTCCAAGAGGTTAATTTCTGAGATACTGATTATGATAATAAATATGGAACAACAGGGTGTGGGAGTGGGTTTATTCTAGAGAAAATGCAGTGTTGATTTCTTACTTAGTATGCCACTTGGACTCACAGATTTTCAGCTGGTCTGCCCCTCAGCTCCTTCTGGACCTCAGAACAAGTGTATATATTCTTGATGTATAATGCAACACTTCCTCCCTTTTTTCCCTGCCTGTCCCTCCAGAAAAAAGCTATACCCTTCTATACTAATATTCCAGACATGAGGTTTATCCCACAAAGTCTCAGTGGTGCCAAACAAGTCATAATTTATCCTATGTACTAATACTTCCAGTTCTTCCTGTTTATTCCCCATACTCCTTGCATTTGTGTATAGACACCTAAGATGTTATGCAGATTCCCTCACTGTTATCCCACTTGTTGCGCTTCTGACCCTACTGTAATTTTCAATTATCTTCCCCTCTGTGCCCCAACGTTTAGCCCTCTGTTAAGGTCACCTTTTTATATACCTATCTGTGGGTGTTTGTCACCTGCCCCCTTTGAACTTCGTTTAAATCTATTTTACAGGTTGTGAATCCAAGACCTGAAAACAAACCAAGAGGTTTAAGCCTTTTACTGTGTCTACCAAGTTTTTCACTGAATCTGGAAAGCTGCCAGTATGATTAAAGCTATAGTGAACTCAGCACTGCCAGTAATGATTTCTTAACCCACGTGCCACTAGACCAGAGGTGTCAGATGTTTTCAATTACAGCCATCCAACCCTGTTATGGAACCCCCTGGACTAGATTATCTGATTTACATCTGTGCAGCTTCACTGACTAAGAGTTGCGATTGTAAATCAGGGTAGAATTTGGCCTATGCAAGGTACTGTAGATACAAAATGGTACCCTGCTGCAATGCCTGAAAGCTGTTTGGGGACCTGACCCTGTAAGGAGCTAAGAGTCTAATTCCTATTGACTTGAATAGAAGTGCAGGGCATTCAGCACTGTGAAGTATCAGGTCTTGGTTAGTGCCAACAGGGGCAGATTCTGCTTTCTTTGCACACTCAGAACTCCCCTTGACATCAGCACAAATTCTGCTTGTGCGATGAGTGCAGAACAGGCCTAGTATTATTGCATCCACATTGTTTCATTTATGATAAGAAATAAAGTAATGTAAACATTATAGATCTTTAAGAAGTCAATTTCTTTGGGTTTCCCCCCTCTGTTATAAAGTAACCTCTTGTTCCATTTCCACTAAATCTGCTCTGTGCTTTCTCTGCTAAATAAAGTTTAAGTTTGATTGCTTCAAAGAATGCCAATAATCACAAATCACTACCCACAACACATCCTGTAGTAAGCCCTAGTGTATGTAACCGCATTGCCTTTGCCAACATTTTAGATAGTTTCATGCTATTCCTGCTGTTTCTCATGTCACAGAGGTTAGTTCTCCTGTGAATGCGTATGAAACAGCTAGTAAAAAGTAACTATTATCTGAATCCAAGTACACAAAATATTCCCAAGCGACTAGCATTTTTCTTCTGGTAGGCTGAGAGACTTGATTGTGTAATTTACTGAATGCAGCCATTAATAACAACATGACCTGATATTGTTCGAGTGCATATCTCCTTAGAGCACTGTGTCTGCAAATTGTCCCAAAATTGCAAGATCAGGAAAAAAACAACTAAATAACAGTTAAAAAAGAGGCAATTTTAAAAGGAAAAATACTGCACCACCCAACTGAGCTGAACTTTCCATCTCTCTCCTCTTGTTTTTATGCATGAATCTCCCAAGGAGAGTGATATAAATACAGATGTAACTTTAGAAAGAACAGTCAAATGATACAGCAAGTGATTTCCCTTTGTTTGTTCTACATCACTGTTAATATGTGAGATCAAAACTGTAGAGACAAAAAGCATTTAAGGTAGCTACTTTCAGGATAGCTTTGTACAGTACAGGCAGAAAGGCCCAATCCTATAATTCCTCCTGACTAAGAGCTCCTGGATCTAGCCCTGTATTTATACTGATTTTTAGCTACAAAAAGTTTCAATGCTTCAAAACAATGCATCAATGCTTAATCAATGCTCATCAGTGTTCCTTAACCATTAGAGAATCATTAATTCATGGATCGTTCCAAATCCAGTCTAAAATAAGCAAATGCAATGCCCATGGAAGGCTCTGGGCCAAATCCAATGATGACAAATGGTGGGGTAAAGTTTCATACCGGGTAAATGAATCTTGTCCTGTACCTCATGTGGTCACAGGCACCAGAGAAAAGTGGGTGTAAATCATCTAGCATTCTGATCTAGTAATGTTTTACACCCTCTTTGCACTGGTGTAAATGACCATGTGAGGTGCAATGTAATAGTGATCTGGTCCATTTCCACTACCACCGAGGAAGGAATTTATATCTGCACTAGTGTGGAGGTCAGCGCAAAGACAGAGGATGAGCAGTTTATGCCTCCCCATTACTGGAACTACTGGGGACCAGTTCAATCCATGGCTCTGGCTCAGACACACCTGCAGGATGCCCAAGGCCCCTATGTGCCTTGCTGCCGCCAAATAACGACCACGGCCATAGATGCATCTCAGACAATCTTCCTCTCACCCATTGTGTGTCCGAAAATGTATCTCTCAGCTGGCGTGGCAGCTCCAGAAGAGGAGCACTAGAGGTATTCTCTGAGCGGACTGTGTGGCTGCTTTGCAGTCTCTTTGCACTGGTTCTGCCAGTACAAAAGGGCTGCAGAGGAACTGCAAATCAGGCTGTGAGGGGCTGAGGGGAGTGTATGTAGATAGAGCAAGACAAATATCCTAACACTGCCCTGGCAACTGGTTACTTCAAAGCACTAGCACATAATTATGATACCGCTCATAGCAGAATGCAGGCAGATGAGAATTCCTCAGGCTGTAACATTCTCCATGAGTACTGTCTCTAAGAAATGAAAGGCGTGAGAAAGCTCTGCAGTAATACCCCTTTGTGTACTCATCTGCCTAAAGTTTTTCGTAACAATACATTAAACAAACCCACACATTCATTCAGCAAGTACTTTCTTTGTTCATTCTGGAATTTAATTTTTATGTCTCCATAACTAAGATACTATAACAACAGCAACAGAGAGGTCTCAAGTGCAAACTTTTTGAAAGTTTAGGAGTTTTCAGATGTAGGTTTTGAGGATCCCCCCAGTCCGTTTGTCTCTTGTTTTATACTTTGTCCTTTATACTTTGATTGTAAGCTCTTTGGTGCAGAGACCATCTTTTTATTACGTGTATATACAGTGCCTCGCATGAGACTCCATCCCTGATAAGGGCTTCTACGCACTTCCACAATACAAATAACTAATAGTAATAGGATCTTGCTTTGTCCCATTTAGAGAGAAAAGGCAGCTTCAAGGATCATATCAGCGATTTGGGATGGATCCAGTCTCTAACTAGAGGTAGGTTTAAATAAGCTATTTAATTATGAATTTAATTAGT